CACATCTTTATCAGGTAGTCAATAATCATAGAAGCTGCTGTATGTGCAGAAAGCAATTTATGACTCTATCTCTTTAGAGTTCTGTCAAATGCTTAATGTAATATCTGTTTAAGAGAAGAAATTGTATTTCATATTCGTAGAGAGTAATTTATATCAAATTTCTCTGCCAACAGGGGAGCATAACACTGATATCAAGGAAGGTGGAGAGCAGGATTATGAGGTGTTGAAAGAGCACATGCATCCACGCTACAATGCAAGTTTAAACTTGTACAACCATGACATTGCTCTGTTGTTCCTGAAAGCCCCAATTAACTTCTCAGCAACAGTCCGACCAATCTGTATTGGACCAATGGCTTTCATCGAAGCCTTGTTAAAGCAACCCTCCCCCGCTACAGTGAGTGGCTGGGGTCGCACCCGCTTCCTTGGGTCCACTTCTAATATCCTGCAGAAGATTGAAGTTCCCTTCACAGATCAGACGGAGTGTAAAAGAAGCAGCAATGAACGGATCACTCCTTTAATGTTTTGTGCTGGATACTATGATGTGGCCAAAGATGCCTGCCAGGGCGACAGCGGAGGTCCGCACACAAACAGCTTTCATGGCACTTGGTTCCTGACAGGGATTGTAAGTTGGGGGGAGGGATGTGCAGAAAAAGGGAAATACGGTGTATACACACGGGTGTCTGTTTATTACAGTTGGATGAAGCATGTGATGAGTGTAACCAAACGCAGGCTGGCTTTTGACGTGGAATACCCAGACTCATGATTATGTATGTGTTCAAGCACGTATGTTGGTGTAGACCACACATTTGGCACCTCTGGTACATACAAATCACTTAGCAATAAATTAACCTTTAAGTGTTGCAATATTAGTTCATGCAGAAAGATTTAAAAAGAATACAGCACTTTCTAATGTGGTTAAAAAAAAAAAAAACGAAAGAAAATATTTAAACAAAATTTCTGGTGTCTATTTTGTTTTTTTCAAACTAGCTGTTAATACTCTTCAAAAAATATTTTAAACATACCAAAAAGGCTTAGTCTTATCTCAAAATGTGTCATATGAGCCTCCGGTTAAACACACAGAAATTTGACTTTGGCAATAGAATCAGTTTGTTGAGTTTGAGTAAATGCTGAGGAGGAGATTGAGCTACGGGTGCTTTGTGTTTGATCAGAGCCACATCTAAAAGTTACAGGATGTTGATCTTCAAGGACTGAAGTTGAAGATTTCTCTTAACCTCTCCTCTTTTTAGATCCAAGGTCCCCAAACTTTTCAGCTTCTGACCCATAAAATGGTGCTATAGGTTATTCATGATCCAAAATACTTGTTCAGCATACAAACATTTCTACAAAATTAATTAACCATGGATGTAATATTACAAACATAATCAACAACCAAAGTAGTTGGTTATGTCCATTTTTAGGGATGATTGTATCTCTTTAAGAACTTAAGACTCCATACAGATTTATCAAGAATCCCAAATGGCATCATGACCCCCACTTTGGGAATCACTGCTTTAGATAATCCCACGTGGTTTTTACAGAATGAGATTCTCTGAGCAGAAGGTTGATTAAGCGTCTGGTAAACTGATTGAGTGCCAATTAAAAAACATGTGTTTTTGTGTAGGATCAAAGACTCAATAATAAACCATTATATTTTTTTCTGGAACAAGTCACCAATATGTATTCTCATCACCTGCTGCTCGTTAAAGCAGATTGTGAAACGATGCACTCTAAAAAGGGACACAAAGAGTTTGCATAAGAAGGGACCCATAGCATGACAGAGTGATTGTTACCAAATTGATAAGTCTTTGTCTCTATAAAAACAAAACATACTTGTAATTAAAGTTCATATTTTCTTTGGGTAGGAAAGAAAAGACTTCTGGAATCCTTCCAATCAACATGTCCGCATGTTGATAGTGTCTGATGTGTTTAGGAAGACTTTTTTTTAAAGTTCTCTCTATACATAAAAATATACTAAAATCATAATATCAATCATAGAATCATAATAACAAAATTTTTTGTTACAGTGTAACAGTACTAATGCATACTGTAGAAAACACATCAAATATGAACAATATTAGTCAGCTATAAAAAAACAACCCAATATACCACAACTGGCTTATGACCAGGTAAACGGCTTTTACGTGTGTTATGATTACACTTTCGGCGGAAATGCTTCATATTGTTTCCAACCAAAAAATGTAAAAATATCCAGGACAGATTTATTATTTACATTTTTTTTCGGGAACAAGAATCCAGACTTATTAGTTTTACATTGGTTCTTTTGACAAGTTTGTTTTCAGCTATCCTAAAAAGGGTTATTGCAATATATATGTTAATATCATCAGAATATTTTTTATAGAACCACAGCTTTTCAAAATAAAACAAATAGAAGGTCTTATTACCATTGTTCATCTGCCATGCATTTTCAGACAAAATACTCAGCAACAAGCATATGTTTCATGGCTCAGCAGGATTCAAACAAGTTTTTTTGCTTACAGTAGGAATATCTGTGCAAACTATGCAGCATTCTGGAGACAAATAGAAAAAGAAGAGAAGCCATGTTAATATTGTCACTTTACTTCAACTGAAGTTTCACCATAGTTATGCATAGCTTTTTTTCTTAGCATATGGAGATTTGATTTCCTATGAGACATTAACAGATGCTTTATAATATAAAGCAAAGCTGATGACAGGATAGAAAACATGACCATTTTAGGAGGTGTGGGGTGTGCAGCAGCCCCTGTTGCTCTAAGAATTTGTTTTCATTTTAAGTATATATACCGGTAGTTCATGTTTGTATGGGATCCCTTTTAACGTGGATAGAAATAGTTACTGAACTATATTCCTGAAAGAGAAATCATCATCCTTTTGATATATTTAAATACAAATTTGCCTAATTTTCTCTCATACCTCCTCCATCTTTATCGGCTGTGCTTTGAATGGCAGTCCCCTTTTTTAAAATTTCTGAGGAAGATCAACTGCCGTTTTGTGCTTGGCCACCATCCAAGCAACAATTTGCCTTTTTTCTCTATCATGTTTATTAATCGTGTTTTACAACATGAACTACTACCATTCAATCATGAGTAAATGTGTCCCCTGCCTTTCCAACCCTTCATACATTTAGGAATACAAAGAGGCGCAACGACAACAGGATGAAAACACAGTTAAAAAGGTAAAGCAGCAAGCAAAGAGCACATTCAGTAGAGAATAGGTGGTTTTGTAGTTAAAGGCCAAAGATCATTATATGTCGTAACTGAAATTAAAAAAAGCTTAAAGTATGAAAAAAAGAAATTACACTGCTTTTCAAAGAGGAAAGGTACATTTAAAAGCACTTGTATGAAACAAAAAACATTTAACGACGCTATTAATGCGCTTGGAAATTTCTGTTATGACAGACTTTTGTGAGAAGAATATGTTAAATGGCTAATGCAGTATGATCTACAAAGATTATCCAGCAGGGAACATGGATAGAGGGATAGAAAATAAACCAATACACAGAACGAGATTTCTCCTAACTCAACAAAGCAAAAACTATGTAATACATTTCTTTTATACTTCAGGATTATTTAACAATTAGTCATTTTGGAACAATAACTGCAGGAAAAGGAAATGACACAGTTCTTGCTAAGGCAACGATAGGTAACTTGAATGAATAGTCAGCAGCCAGACAATAGATGCAATCAAGGTTGTCAAAATGTTTCCTATGTGAATTCTTACATATCATCTGTCAAAGATTGTTTGATGTACACAGATAGGAATAACTCACATGTGTAACACTGGCTTGAAGCTGCTGTTGGTGAAACTGTATAAACTGCACTACTGTAACACAGATAAAGAAAAAAAAATGTTGATAATACACCGGCTGATTGTGTAGAGAAAACAGAGTTGCATAATTATTGCATTGCTTCCTAATTAAAGTTATTCTACTGACACAGTTGTAAGAATAGAAAGTGGTGACACCTGTGTGCATCAGAGTAACAAAGCTTGTCAGACCTGCAGCAGAATTTCTAACATCAGTTTAACTTCAGTTTTTCTCACCGTTTGTCATTTTCCAGAGTGAAATAACAAACAGGCTAGGTTCACTCGACAGTTCTTTTAAACCCCTCCATAGGGTACCAGTTTGGTAATCCTCCAAATGAAACATTTCTTGACAACATTTTTTCCAGTCGGTACATAATCATACAGATCTTACCATAATGATATTATATTTGAGCTGCAGACTTTACTATGCTTTCACTATGGATAGTCTTTATATTATGGACCATCACACAATTTAAACATAAAACCATCTTAAGTAGCATTTGGCTGCATTTTCAATTACTGTTTTTTCTTCATAGTTCTCAATGTCATTACTTTCATGAGCTGCAAGCATCAACGCAACAGAAGAACACAAATGATGATAAATGCCCTTTAAATAAAATAGAGCTCACCCTTTTAAAGTGCCTGATAAAGTTTTGTGAGGTCATTTGGAATGGAGAACACAGATTTTTTTTGCAAAAAGCACATAGAATCCCTAAAAGATCGGAAATATAAAGGCAATAAGGCATGGCACATTTTGGTATTTAAACTCTTAACTGTATGGAAGAGTGGTGACATGAGAACGAAAGAGTATTTTATACAGACGTGAAAATAATATTCATTAAAAGTTTTATAAAAAACAGTACAATTTCCTTAACAGTTTTAAGGTTAAATTCATGTTTACTGTACATCCCTTAGGAACAAAACAGAAAGAAAAGCTCTTAGGAATAAAGTAACGTCAGGTATTAGGAGGGAAATACGGAGCCCAGTCTTTGAGTTGACGCATTACTGAAGCAGCAAACTCATATGCTGCCTCCATCGTTGAACAGGAAATGTCAGAAGAACAAGAGAGTTATTGCACATCAAAAAGTAAAAAGAACATGATCCGGGTCAGCTGTTGATTGTCCAATAGAAGCGTACCTGCTCCTGTGGCTTTGAGGTGATTGCTAAAGAGATCTTTATGATCAAAAAACATCAGTTTAGGAGATTAAAAGTGAAAACTAGGAAAGCAGCAATTGAAGAAAGCAGCCTCTTTGAGGAGAGGAGTTATTGGCAGCCTCAGTTATGAGACAGCTATGACTCAGTCTGTTCCATCTCTGCTCATCATCCAGCATAAGATCGTCATTCATCCTCAGTTCTTTCTTCTCTATGGGGAGCTCAGCTTTCTCACCTTCAGGTTCCCTGGGTCTGTGAGAATAAAGTGCAGGCTTTTACAGGATAAATCAATTGAGAAGTTAAAGATAACTCAAGAAAGGAGATGATAAATTGTCTTTACCTCCTAGTCTGGGAGAGTGCTCATGGCTGCCATTTCCTATGATGAGCTGCAGACAGGCAGCTGCTATGAAGCCCTCCAGCTGCCGACTCAGATTTTTCACAAGCCTTTCCATCACAGTGGTGAACGGGGGAATTGTTTTGAAAATTAGGATGAATGAAAACACAGTGCATTTTGTGTAGCTTCATTTTTAGTTTTTAGAGCCCTTTTTAAGCCTAACAGGACAGTTTATTGAACATTCCAATGAGGCTCACCAGCGCCCCCTGTTGTCTTCACATTGTAGATGGATGACGTCTCCACGCTTGATGATGATGCTGCCTGGTCCGTTTTGGGGACAGTCAGCCATAGCTCTGTACTTGCCTGGAGACTGAAATAGATAAAAAAAAAAAGGAAGTTAGTGACAAAACAAAATCAAATTAAAAAAAAAAAAAAAAAAAGGAAGTTAGTGACAAAACAAAATCAAATTCAACAGCTAAAACTGCTTTATTGTGAGATTTTGAAAAATACAAGAAGCTGGAAAATTTTTGAAATATCAAAAACACTTCAGTAAATAATTATTTCAGAATCACATAACTAGGAGTCATAAAAGAGTCTAGATATCATGATGATATATAACTGGTCTGGAAAAGTCCCAGATGTTTTAGTGACCATTAGAGAAACGGAAGACAGACAATAGACAGAGATAAAACTGTGCAGATCTTTAAAGAAAGGTTATGGTTTACAAAAGTATCACAAACACTGTTCAGTCCATCATCCAACATTTGAAAGAGTGATGAACAACCACTAAGCTATCAAAAAATACTGAAATGGAGCAGTTATCAAAAGGATAACTATTTAAACTCCCCAAATCATTACCTAAGGAGAGTAGCTACAAGAAAGCAATATGAAATTTAGCTTTTAGTTTGTCACAAGTTATTTGGTGATCAAATAAACATGTGGTAATAGGCTGCTTAGAAAAATTAAAAAACAAACTTTTCGTTGGTAAAAAACTAAAGCATATTGCCCAAATCGCATCTCTACAGGGAAACCATGTTGTGGCATAACAATGCTGTGGATGTGTTTCATTTATCAAAGACAGGGATGCTTCTCAAAGTTAGTGGGAAAATGGACAGAGCTAGAATAGCCTAGACCTGGGGTGCTAAAGTCCAGTCCTCAAGAGCTACCATCCTGTAACTTTTAGATGCATCTCTTCTCTAACACACCTGAATTGAAAGACTCAATCCCCTCATTTAGCCCAACAGAGGCAAGGTAACAAGCCACTCATTTGATTCAGGTGTGTCAAAAATAATATGCATCAAAAAGTAGCAGGATAGTAGCTCTTGAGGACTGGACTTGAGCAGCCCTGGCTAAACCCAAGTCCTGACGTAAATCATACTCTTGACCTGCGCTCTGAATAAACCCAAATATACGCTGCATTTTGTTCTACTCAGCACTTCTCCACTCACCTTAATTACCCTGGGTCCACTACGCTTTACTAAAGTGAGAAGCCCAGAGGTGTTTCTAGGAGCATGCACAAATGGCACAATAGAAGCTGGTCATAAACCTGGAGGTCAGACCCAAAAAAATCTTTCCATGGAATTTAAAACTGTTAACTCTGCTTCTCTTTTGTAATGATATCATACAATGATCAAGTACACAGAGAAGCTATATTTGCTATATATATTTGCCAAGTGCTTGATCTAATTTATGTAATTGCTAATATCAGCACATATGCATAAATACATTTAGAAGTGTCTTTAAGGAAACCTTGTTCCTCTATTGTATTTTAGTTTCCTGTTAATGTGACACAAGTTGTGTAGATTGATAGTGGTATAACTCTGGTGTCCAGCAAAAGTAGAATTGAGTCGAATTTAGCTTGAGAGCCGTCTGCTGGCTGCCATTGTTCAAAGGCAGTGTACAGTACATATTCATAATGGGTAAAATGGGTGCATATTTACAGTGCAAGTCAGGTGGAGCAGAGCTGGATGCAGAGGAAAGTTTGAGTGACCTTGCAATGAAGAATATAAAATCCTCTAAATATAAAGTTGAACAAAGCTGTTAAGAGTATAAAGTAGAGTAAAGTGGAATAAAAATTGGCTCTAAAAACTCAGGGTAGGCTAACTGTCATATGATGAATACTTAATTTTTTATCCACTATGTTGTATTGTTCTATTATATAAAATAACAATAATTTGTACGATCAGGGGAATCAATACATTTTCCCAGGCGGTATTATTTAACTGTATAGTTTACCTACTATCTTACCAATTTGAGCACATTTTTCTCCTCTATCTCAGAAGGGAGGAAGGCGTCCTGATCTCCAGACCACTCCTCGCAGATGTCTACTGAGTGATGAGCTCCGGGCCAACCTGGAGGCAGGCGTTCTGTTGAAGGTTCTGAACAGGACTTTTCCCTTGCAGTACACCACAACAAGTACTTTGTAGATACTTAGTAACTATGTTAACATTAAAGGACCTCATGGCCACTTACTGGGAGATTAAAAAGAATGTTGAATCAAAAGCTAATCTCATTAGCTTTTTCCCCCAAAGTCTTCGATGTACCTGGTTCTTCAAGTCAAAGTACACCTGAACGGCTGAGGGTGAAATGTCAAATATCTAAATTAGTTTATGATGGTGGAGAACTGTTCAAAGCAAGTATTTCTGCCATCAGCTTCCCTTGGGTGTATTTTTCATGCTGTTGTTACTAAGTATCTACTTGATTATAAAGCATAAAAGATGCATCAATGATGTTTTTCTCACTCCGGCGGTTGGGCTGGTGTTTAGGGGAGTGAGACTGGGGCTCTGGACTGCTCCTTCCTGATTCAGTATCCTCTGAGCTCACTGACGCCCTCTGCTGTTTGCTATGAAATCATATGAAAAAGAGAACAGGAGTCACACATCACAATCATGCTAAAAACAATGACCTCGGACATTAAAACTGGGGTTAGCTTTATAGATATATTTTAGAGTAAAACTGACCCCAGATAAAAGTAAATAATATTTATGTTATTATCTTCTCACAAAGCATAAACAAAATGTGCACCAGCCAGTTTAAACAGAACCCCAGTAGCCAGTTGTAGGCCTACCTGTACAATGCAGAAAGCAGAATTTACAGGTCTTTAATAGATTCATCCCACAGGGTTCTCATAAGTCTACAACAGCTAAGTTCTGGTCTAGGTTTATTAGAATTTAAATTTAAGTAACATATAGTTTTCTTTATTAAAAAACAAACAAGCCAAATCTTGACAAAATGAAAAAAGTAACGATTAAAAAAAATGAACTAACATTTGCATAGCATGCACTTCAGCAATTCTAAAATGCAGAATTTACTTGTTTTTCTTTTTTTAACAATGCTACAAAGCCATGGAGGGAGCTGCTAAGATACAGATTTTGCAAAGTGAAATGGGTTAAGAACCAGAATGGAGGCCATAAGAAATGAAGGGGGGACAGCTATGAATCAGTAGTGCAGCACAGCAGCAGAGGGTTTCCTGTCCTCATGCCATGATCAGGCGAGCCAAGCAGAGTTTACCACTGAGTGTTATAGCAGATCAGTGGAGCTTGGAGCAGCGGGGACGCGGCCGGGGCCGTTGCCGGGGGCTTCGGGGACGGGGGCTCCAGGACCTCAGGCACACAAACACATCAGATGACAGAGACACAAAGTCCAGCCCCGACAGACAGCCCCTGGAGACCCCTCTGGACGGCCGCATACCCCTGCAGGTGGGGGATTTGGAGGAGTGGGGATAGGCAACTAAACAGCAGTGAAATATGAAAAGACAGGCCTTTGCCCTTTTCAAACATTGCCACACACAAAGCTACCAAAAAAAAGAAATCACAGTTCACATTAACTTTGAATTAGAGGGTTGAGAGGCTGCGTGTGTTTGCACACGAGTATATTCTTATGGTTCTATTCATGGACCAACCACATTAACAGCTTCTAATCAACCATAGGCACTGACCTTTCAGTGAGTGATGGAGAAAGCTGCATGTGTTCAGCCAGTGGGCCATGTTGATGTGCTTCGTCTATAAGAAGAGGAGGAACAAGATGTTTTGAGGAAGATTTTACATGCAAGGAACTTCAGAAACACTCAAAACTGTAATCGAAGTGGGTTTTTTCCCCCTTTTTTTAGGCTGTGCAATGTGTATAATGAACGTCTTTATAGACCAACTTTATAACATTCAAAATATATTTCTGTCACTGCTTTTCCTGTACCAATACTGTCTTTTTTTTTTTTTATAACTTTGCTTGGAGGAGTAGGGATCAGAAATGAGTAGGGCGGGAAATAGCCAGTACTTAAGAGACTGATACGTCAGCGGGCCGATATTTTTCACAGATTTTAGGGTTTTGTTTTTTTTTCTTGTATTAGGATCCAGTACATGCATAGATACCTTTTTGGTGCTGTTTCTAGTGCTAAAACATCTGGGACAAAACACATAACTAATTTCTTATTTTTTAGGTAAATTTTACACACATGCCATCAAACACCTAATCCTTCTGTTTTCAGTGCCGATCTTAGCTGCTTATTGGACTCTTTAAAGCTTAGCAAAAACTCTTAAGATATAATTTTTTTTTTGTTTTCTGCACATTTGTCTCTATAAGTGGCACCTTCTTACCACATCACTGCCTATGTTTTTATAATTCGTACTTTTTATAATTTGTACTAAATGAAGTTTGTGAGAAATAAATTTAGCTTATCATTGTTCAACGTTTCTGACGGCCTTATAGAGAAAGATCCTCCAGGAAAAGCCTTTATCTTGTCGATAAAAAGGGTCATGTGTATTTTTTTTCCTGGCTATATTTCACATATCTCCAGATCTGGAAAACCTCCGGACATTATATGCTCTGGTGAAGCTCCATGGAGGGGAGTTGCAGAGCAATTATTGCAGGGTTGCAGCCTAAACGAGTGCACCAGTTTGGGAAAATGTGAATGCTTATATGCATTTTGTTGCAGATTAATATTTTCAAATGTTCTCTTCTTTTTAATTTTTTTTTCTTTATTTTGACAATAGTAAGGAGAGAACCATAAGGCACAGGAAATGAATGCATTAAGTCAACCAGGCTACAAGTTGTTGGAGCTTCATGCCTACTTATGCAATACCAGTTTTCTTTATGAAGTCTTGGATCTTCAGGAGGCCACTGCCGCCTTGACTGGTGTTTTATGAACAACTAGAGGCACATGTTTTCAGTTATAAAGTGGAACTGTATTGTGTAATACACAAGTGACTTCCCTTTAATATTCATTGGATCAGAGAACAAGTTGGTCTTTTTAATTTATTTGTCCGTATTGTAATAAAGCTGGTTAATGCAAACCTCTAAGCAACTTCTGCTGATTGGTCAAAATTCGGCGGAGTTCATTGAGCCAGGCCATCTTTACTTCCACCGTTGGAGCCTGAAAAACACATACATCCCAACTGGATTTTCAGAAAAAAATTAATTCTGATTATTTGGCTACTTCCATTCAGTTGTAATAGTTTGCTTATTAAAATGCTGATACTGTGTATAAATCAATCATTTCGTGCATACAAACATCTTACCTGAACCACGTAAACTTCCTCCCTTCCACTGTACCAGATCTCAAACTTCTTTACATCACCTTTGACATTCTCTGTGATCCCCACAGCAGTCATCTGCCCAGTGACAAACATGCAGGTTTTTAGGACGATCATCACAAACAGTGCCGCAGAATTACGTCATATAGCACTTCTTTCCTGTTTAAATCAACAAACAGTGGCTCTTTCAGTCACATTGCTGCTGTGTGACTGCTTCCTTCCCATGTCCTCAATAATAAATCAAGCAGCTGCAGCTGGCGGGTAAACGCCAGATGTGACACTCCTCACATCAACAGATAAAACTAAAAAGTGTCAGAGAAGACATCTTGTTCTGTAGCCAGGAGGGTGGTAGAAAGATATCAACACAGACAATGCTTCAATCTGAGTCATTCATAAACAATTTCCCATCATCAATATTTTACTATTGAAGGGAAATGCATATAAATTGGGGGATTTGACAGAACAAGAGAAAGAACTGTAAAACTGCTAAATCGATTTTTATTTAAAACTCTGAAAGGGTTGCGTGCATTATATATATTCAATGTTTGAAACAGGTTAAACACATTTATGGCCCTACACAGTAGATCACAAATATATGATTTATGCAAAATACTTTTATGCAACATGCCTTTTGCAAATAGATTGATGCATTTTTTCAAGTACTGGCTCATTATTTGAGCAGCATAGATCCGGACCCTCTATGTCAACCCCTTTACTTTGATCAACCTAAATAGAAACCAGTTTAACCAAACACCTTCTCATAAGACTCTACTTAGAATTTCATACAGTAAGGTAAACTACTAAGAGGTTAGGGGTAGCTGTTGCAGAAATATGGAGATCCTAAAGTTAGCTGAAATATGCTGTTAGCAGGGCAGATATAATTCGTCTTTATGGATGAGCAGTGGGGAGAATAAAGCCAAGTTAAAAATGCCATATACTATTTAAAATAAAGTTTACCAAAAGTCATGTACTGTAAGGGGCATTACAGAAAATGGAGAAAAATAGGGCTCTCTGGTTTCATGAGATCGAAATAGACATTTTTATCCTAAAGGTGTTTCTCCAACAAAGTAAAAAGTGATTAGGGAGAGTGATGGAGCCCATACAGGACAATCTAAGAAGAAAATCCAGTGGAAAAAGTGGAAAACTATTATAGGTTAAAATTCCAACAGAGCAAAGACTCTAAACACAAGCAAAGTGGCTTAAATAGTAATATATTCAAGGCACTGGAATGTCATAGTCAAAGCAAATTCAAAGTGAGAGAATCTGTGGAAATATTTAAAATTGTGGTTCACAGTTGTTCTTCCTTTATTCTGACTAAGCCTGATCGGTCATGTATATGAACAAATATATATCTGAGTTCAATAAACAACCTTTAGACAGTGCTTGAAGCTGTAGGAGGGCGTCTTGTCGCTGCTGTCTCCGTGATCCTCCCTTCTTTTACACAAAAGAAGAGCCCTTTCATACAGGAAGAAGTGTCTCTGCATTGGTTTGAAGCGAGCCAACTCCTTCATCCTTGTGGGACCTCTTTTGTGGCTGATCCACACGCTAAAAGAGCCCTGCATAAGCACACGGCCCAGTTCACAGATTTCCCCCTACATGTGGAGAGGGAGGGACTTCAGACTTTTGGAGATATATGTGGGTCACATTTATTGAGAATGAATTACTGTGTAGGGATCAGGATATAGAAGAAAAGACAATGTTTTAACCTCATATCCTGTAATTGCAATCTGATGCATGGAGTCATTGACTGACTTGAGCAGATCCAGCATGGCTGTCAGCGCCTCCTGCAGCTCAGAACTACCCTCACAATCTTGGCTGTACTTGAGCAGCTCCTAAGAATATAAACATAGGAAAATGCTTATGCCCAGAGATGGTGTGTATATGCATAAAACAACATACTAAACACACATAAAACATACATAATAAATCTGATAGTTAAATCCTGGCTTTTTTATTTGTTGAAAGCAAATTTGAGGTCTGCCTCAAGAATAATACGTTATCCAACAATAATGCACTTTCTAACCTTGAGCAGCAACTGGTATTTTGTGAGCCGTTGGACTGGTTTCAGCAGGTAGGAGTCCAGGCCCAGTTTGTGCTCCAGCTTCTTTTGACACTCCTTCATATTAAAGACAAATATATTTACCATATGGTTCATTCAGTGTGCCACTGACACATCCCCAGTTTTAACTTGTAGAATTAATCACATATATCACAATTATTTGTATTAATTATACACATAGTTGGATTGCAAAACCAGTGCTCTGACATTTCTTTAAATAATTATATTCTTGATTTTTTGAATTTATTATTATTTAGCATAAATAATAATAATAATCAAATATTTTGTCTTACTTGGACAGCAGAAATACAGTTAAAACGGTAAAATAACTGAAAACTTACCGAAAAAAAGGGACACTCTGAGAACTGTCTCCATAGTGCTTCAGAACGTGGCTTATTTTGACAGTACATTTCATACATCTGGAAACTTTCTTTCTAAAAATTGAGAAAACAGGATTTTTTTTTTTAAACTGCAAAAAAGAAAAGACTTATGCTTTCTAAGTATAAATATTTATAATCTAACCCGATGGAGGAAACAAGTTCCGACAGCTTCAGGTGCCTCCAGACACCCTTCCAGGTCTTGAAGGAACACTCTAGATTATTAGAGAGAAGATAAGCATGACTTTTTTTTTTTTTTTATCAAAATAAAGTGATTGATATAAATTTCTGTTTTATCCTGTTTATCCTGTTAAGGGAATGAACAGATCTCACTTTAAACCATAGCAGTCATGAATAAAGCTCTATGTGATATTCTATATGTTACAAAATGAGGCCTGAACAAAAAAAAAAGATTAAGAGAGACATTTCTAAGGCGCATATATTTGTATATTTAGTAATTCAGTAATTCAAGTAATTCAGATTATACATTTGCATATATTTTACCTGACGCAAAAGTCAAAAAGGAGTCTGATTTATGTAATATAAAAGCATAAATAAATAAATAAAACTTAATAAATAAATATAGTGTTATGCCAACAGTAGTTTTATTCCTGCATTTATTTATTTATTTTTTGCTTTAGTTTCACTTTCAAGCCTCACATCTGTGTCAACTTCAGTTTCTTTTCCATTATTTTTGTTGTTTTTTTTCTTATAGTTTTATTTATCTTTAGAGTCCTGATCAACTCTTTTTGAAATCTGTCATATAAATGATTATGATTCATTAATATTGAATGAAAAACATGGTTGTAATTTTGTGTTCAAACAAACACTGACTCCATTTAATAGATTAGTGGTGGAAATTATATTCAACAAAATTTTACTTTGATCATTATGAATCATAATGATCATTATGAATCATAATGATCATTATGAATCATAATGATCATTATGAATCAACAAAAAGTGCAAGAAAAGCATATTTGATATGATACACTAGCCTACCTGTCTGTCTGTTTTTTTTTACTGTACTAGAACTGACAAAAATTGGCAGTCTGTATGAAAGGGGTATATCTTTTATTTATTTTATTTTTTAAGAACCCTCATGACATTAAAATGAAATCTGATTTGTTCAGTTTTTTGTAACCATCTGATTCTTTTTATTTCTATCTATTTACCTAATAAAACCATACTAAAAAAGGACATTTAAGAAAATGTGCAGAAGGATCCAAATATCTAGCTTCTCTGGTGCATGAAGTAAGCCTGGGAAGAGAACACCAGCATCCACTGGTTTTTAATCTGAATAATAAACCTGCCTGCTGTGAAAGTTGTAGATCTCAGGCATGTTTCCAAAGAGAATATCTTTTTTACTGCGTAGTATCGGTGGCAAAAGCGTCGACAGAGATGGGTTATCCATCTCAGCCCTGTAACCCTGCAATTTCCAAAGCAGAAAAGTATGTTCAGAAAACTAATATAGGTGACAAAAGTAAATATAAGGCAGCATTCAACTATCAGCCTCTTTGAACTGATTCCTACCAGTAGCACTGACAGCAGCTCCTCCACATAGATCCTCTCAGTCTCTATAAGTTCCCTCATCACATGACTGAGACACAAACAAACAGACAAACATAAAGAGACAGCCAGAGGGCATCATTAGCACACAGCAAAGAGAATCACAGAGTACATAACATCAAAAGCAACACTGAGGACAGAGGGGCGGACGTGTTTCTCCTCCTCACCGCTTCAAGAGATCCGGGCTGTCATCTCCATCCAGACTGTACGACACACAGCTCCGGCTCTCCTGGTAGTCATGCATCACCTCTATCTGAAAACACCCGAAAAAGGTCATTACTGAATCTAAGATTTAAAACAAAGTTATAGTTTGTCTTTTTCTTTTTTTTTTTTTTAAGGTGGGGTTATGTTAATAACCTCATTGATGGTTAAAAACATGCAATGGATAACTCTTTTGGAATGTTCGTTAGTAGAAATACAAATTAATAGGACCCAGGGGTTAAAGTTTAGCGCTAAAGTAAGAAGGATGATTTTTTTAGACAAAAATGGCTGCAACAGAATGCACCACTACAAATCTTCCTGTGTAAACTCAGAAAGGACCATATATTTGTTATTTGTATTTGCCCCTGCTCACATTAGGGGCGATACAGCTTTTTTTCAGAAATGTTACATATTTTCAGGTAATTTTTTTGCAGTCCAAGATGCCTGCTAATGAACAAAGAAATTGAAAATGCAACTTAATCTACAGGTCCCAATTTAACTAAATAGAACTTTTTAAAATTATTTGTACAAATTGTAATCATTTGGCCTTACGCTTGTTTTTAAATGAAATGTTAAACAGACAAAAGGTTACTATGGTGAAAAAGGCATGAGTCAAATAGATTTCATCAGGGAGTCCCTGACAGGAACCATTACAGCAAATCAATAATTACTATGAGATTCTTTAAATTAATATTTTTTCTCTAATTTAATCAAAGAATTACATTTTAAACATTCCTTGGCGCCTTGTAGAGGCCATTAAATATGTTGTGCTATGAACTAACTGGTTGCTGAAGGAGGTAACTGCTTGTTTAATTACCTGGACAATTGTCTGATGGAGCAAAATTACAAAAATCTAGACTCTTGGCTTTATAGGCTTTTAAATTAATAAATTGTAATTTGGACCAAAGACTTAAAAAAAAAAGAAATTGGGTTTGTCCAAAGGGAAAAAGGGCATGTGCTCTAGCACCACCTAGTGTCTACCTGTGCACATCCCTGCTGCAGGATAACCAGAGTTTTCCAGTTCTAAACAGGAAAACAAAAACAAAAATGAAGAAACAGAGTTCATTTTTTACTCACTTTTCTGGGGTTTGGACTTTTTCTAGACGATTTTTTCCCAGGAAGAGAAATATCAAATGTGAACTTTAAACCATCACCTGTAAAATACACATAGACTCATTAGTTAAATAACTGAGTATTACTAGAGAGTAGCATAGAAGGTTTCAGACACTGTGGAGGAAAACTGAGAGGACAACTAATTCAAAACCCTACTGTAAGAGTAAACAAGAAGAACCAAACAGATTCCGTTGCTGATTGTTCAATAACTGCAAAAAATAAATGCATACTGAATCTACTCAGGGAATTGGTAAAATAAATAAATAAATAAATAAAAATAAAGGTTTTTGTACACTGAAAAGAAAAAGATCTAAGACATCTACACAAAAAAATGTATTTGATGAAAATTTACACAAGATTTGAAAGAAGTAACCATGTTTGTCTTAATTTATTGTCCTGAAATTATCATCAGCTGAGGTCCTGGAAGGTTTTTATTACTTCTAAATTTATGTTATGGCTCATTTGGCCTCATGCAACAACATTTTTGTATTCTTATCTTTAAATTTCTCTAACTTATTCTCCTATGCGTGCATTCCCGAGAAATGTAAATCTGCATAATTACCGCCCTGATTATTCCATTAGGCTACAAATCCCCACACCTACGTGTTCATTCATAGAAATGGCATTGAAGAGGGAGAAGAAATACTTTAAAGGTTTGCAGATCGAGGTCTGACTGAGAGCTGAGCAGCAGAATTAAAGGACCGGTAAAAAGCCAAGCAGTGGGGAATAAATGACAAGAGATATAAAGGAGGTAATTGCGCAGTTACAGAATTAAAAATAAAAGAATAAAAATACTATAAAAATAAAAAATTATTTGATCTGAAAACAGTCAATAAAAACTACTGATGGAGGCAAAGGTGAAACATACGCTGAAAACTTAATATGAGTTCAACCAACCTGACAGCCCAGACTACACAGACTATTGCTTCAACGAAACAAATGTAGTCATTTAGTTAAAAAAAAACTATGTTTGAATAACAGCTGACTGATTGCAAAAGATTCCTACATACTGTACATAATGTCTGGAGCACTAGTAGAAACGTTTGGTAAAAGCAAAGAGTTCTTTAAATGTCAACATAAAAAAGCTGATTACTAATGTTTGGCTTCACTCTTTGTTTTTGCTTTGTTTTGCTTGTGTTCTTGTTGCACAGGATGATCTAAAAGGTTCTTTAATGATTGACACAAGGTTGCATGGTGGCTGTATATCAGTCAGATATTTCCCTGTGGGCTGACTCTTTGTATCATTTATTCTTTTGTAGGGGTCGAGACACAAACCCCCCAGGGCCGTTCAAGCAGGCGGTGGTAGGACCCTGTGATGAGATAAAATAAGAATGGCCCCTAAAGGAAAAATACAAGTAGTTGAAAGACTGCAGTCACTATGAAATGGGTAACAATATGGATCCCAAAACAAACATTGGAGGTTAATATCAGTCTTTTGCACACTACAAGTTGCCGGTCTGATTACCTGCCAACAAGGATCCGTTTTATAGGGTTATATCTATTGTTTAAGGAAGTTTAAGGAAGGAAACTAATTTATATAAAACATATCACAGATAATATTGTAATGCCTTACCGTGCTTTGGAGAAAAGAGTGGGGATTTGGAGCGGGGTTGGTTCTCAGGCCTGGGGGCCACAAGCTGGATCGGTCGCACATGTCTGTCTGCCAGCTTCCTTAAACAAGCTTGTCGGTTCTGGATCATCTGCTGCACTGCTGCATGCTTTTCAAAAACGTTCCCAATTTGAGTCTTACAAGGACACAGAAAAAAAAGCAAATGAAGCAAAGATGAAGAGAATAAAGAAATTATTTAGCATTTAAGATATTGATGGAAGCCAACCTGTAGGTGAGGAGTGATCACTGCCTCATACTCCATAGCTAGAAAATCATGACCGGAGCTCAACATAGACGGCGCTCCCTCAAGGAACTTATCTATTTCCCTTAAAGCTATCTGGGCACCCTCCTTCGACTGGGACTTGTCTACTAGTTGGTTCGCCAACAAATATGCTCCATCATCACACCAAGTCTGGGCCTGGAGGCAGAAAGCACAGAGATAATGTGCATTATCTGTGTTTTTCTTTGTTTAAAAATGCTAAAGTTATGCTTTTAATACCTGCCCAAGACAAAGCAGGAGCTGGTGCATTTGCATTAGAAAAGAGTGCTTGGACTTCAGAGCAGCAGAGAGTGTGTCGCAGTGGTGGCGAAGCTCATTGCAGCGCTGCATAATGAGCGCCATGGCATAGTGGTGACCTGCTGATAGCTGGTGTCCGTGGAGGATGATGATCTGGGCCCGTGATATCACTTCCTGGTTGAGAAAAAGTGGGAACACAAACAGGAGTTAGTGAATCAACAGTGCATTCATAAAGTACCATCTAAAACTTAAAAAAATAAATAAACGTATTAAAAATGAAAACATATGTTATTAGTACAAGGTATATAGTTCATGCAATATGTGTTACATGTGTTTCATATATACTTCCTTATTAAGAATAAAAACTTTAATCTATTTTATCAGCAAACACGACAGGAAAAATTATAGATTTTCCTTTTTTTTTTACTAATAAAAATCTGGAAAGTGTGACTTTACTTTGTACCATCCCCTTTACTCCAATTAAAATGCACTCTAATTATACATCAGATATTTGGTCTACAAAAAACAAAAGCCTGCATGTGGAAAACTAAACTAAGCATTTTGTTGTGAAGATTCATCATGAAGACTAAGGAGTGCCTCAGACATGGCCTACCCTAAAGGTAATGAAACAATATTTAAAAACTATGACATTTCAAAAAGTCTTATTCAACTCATTAGTTGTAAATAAAAGATTTTGAAGTAACTGCAGACCCACCAAGAAATGAAGTCCTATCGAAACCTACAGGCTGAGGAAGGATATACATTTAAGGCATTTTTCTGTACTTTAAGAATAAATCCTAAGTTTAGATAATTCTAGCATTTAATCAGGTAGATGTGCAGAAATTATTGTGGTGGGATATAAAGATAAATAATGATGAATTCAGTGAAATAAGCACATGCATATATGGAGAAGCTGAAGATCAGACTGAGGCATACTGACCTGTGCATTAGATTCCAGGCTGTCAAGCCTTTTGAGAGCCTGCTCTGTTTGGGCCAGCGTGCTCACATTTATGGAAAGTTCTCTTTCTTGCTGCATTAGATGCTCAAGACATAATTCCATCTAAACAAAAGGACAAATCACACTATAAGAACAAAGATCGACACTAACCCTGGTTTTAACACGTACAGTATGTAGATTAAGCTCTTAATTAAGTATGGTTTTGAATGATATCGAGATAACTATCAAATTTCAAAAGGTTATGAAGTGATAAATATAATAGTCTTTTATTTTTATCAAATGTCAGCCTTAAGAAATTCATCCCGTTTTCCCTCTAAATGGGTTGAATCTAAGAAGAATAATAATCTCTGGCAAATATACAAAAACATAACCACTCAATATAAAATATGTGCCAACTTTACCTCCTTAAAGCTTTGCTCATATCTAAGCAGCTGAAGGTACTGATGGAGTTTCAGGTGATGCTTCTCAAAGAAGCCGTCAAAGGCCAACTCCATGTCTCTGAGCTGTGCAAGGAGCCTAACAGAGGAACTGTCAGTCCATTGTAGTAGAGGTGAAGTAAATAGATGTATTTTAGGAATACAGAGGAAACAGCAGACATTATTTACCTCTGTACTGTCTCCCAGTCCAGTTTCACATCCCACTGGGAGTCATCATCTTTCCCAGTTGTTTCCAGGTTGGACAGAAGATGGCAACCTTCCTTTGAAACAGACCTTATTGCATCCTTCCAGAGAGAAGTTTATATAAGACATGCAGCTCCAGGTCACATTTGTTTATGTAATTAAATACATCTTGCAAAAATCCTCACCTTGAGCTTTTTATACTTTGCAGTGTGAGTCTCTAGGAGGTGCTCGATGGCTTTTCCCTCATCCGGTAGCTCTGCCTCTGCCAGCTCTGTGCCAAAGCCTTGTAACATTTGAGCAATGTCTTTTACCGTTACTGCAAAACTTTCAATAGCCTTTCAAGAAAAACAGACAAAAAAAAGAAAAACATTTAATCATTTGGTGCATTTTATCCTCAGCGTTATTCAGTAACCTAATGGAAGTGTTATTATAGATAAAAATTTTATTTAAGTAAGTAGTCTAGCTCCTTTGTGAATCCTTTACCGTCCGTAAAACAATCCAGTCACTGTGACAGTAGTCCAAAGTTCCTCCAAACTCTGATGTCAGCTGATTTTCATCAATGTAGCGGAGCAGGTCTGTGACAGAACTCAGCATCACCACCTAAACATGTAGAAGGAACTGAGCCCTCACAAAAAGACTGTGCCTCTTTTCAAAAGATCTTTCAGTTTGCAGTTGTTAAAACACAGTTGATTGTCAGAAAATGATAGATCTGGAACTTAAATACCCTGATGTGATAGATGATATGACTATCTGGCATGCTCAAGAGAAGAAAACATATCATTCTCACTTAAACTATCAATTTGTATTAAATAACAGCATAGGACAATATGCTATTTAAAAATAAATATTGAAACCCCTGTTAGTTTACCACTAAATATTTGACTTATGGCGCTCCCATATGTAACAATTAATGAGGTGTACCTTGTCATGAAGTGAGACAAATTTGGTAACTGAGGAGTAGCTGCCTTACTGGCATCTTGAGCATGAAGTCATCCTGGCTGAAGCGGAAACCAATATCTGTTACAGTACGATGGAAGAAGCTGGTGGGTCGGAGCACCAAAACCAGGTGGAGGTTCCCAGGAAAGGAGGCCTGGATGAGCAAGAAAGAAAAGATACAATTTCAAAGAGAAAATTTATATTTAAAAATTTTTGGCTGTTTTTAAGCAGATACACACTTTTCTGACACAAAGCACTACTTGTAGTCTCACCTAATTGAGAAGATGATAGGCACTATCAAGTATTGGTGAGGACAACATTTCTGGCAGCACAGATGAAAATAGCTTTTGTAATTAACAGTTTTTGTTCATTGCAGAAATATGTCAAAGGATATATTTGCTATTTGGTAACGTGATTTAAAAAGAATTGTCCAAGCAGTTTTACGCCTGTCATCTCTTCATCTACTCTCCATCTATCTCACAACCATAAACATTTATGAAATGTTGACTGCAAAACCCAAATATTCTGTTCACAACTAAAATAAAAAGTTTATTACATCAGGTCACTCTACACAAACCAATGAGCTTAGGGTTGATTATTAAACAGCAAACATCTAGGCTTTAAGTGGCACCAAAAAAGCTCAAAAACCTTTGCTGAGGTACGATTTATGCCTGTATATGGTATAATTTGAACAGACAGTCAGACGTGTATAAACCTTCGCAGGCATGTCCTTGCACTATGGCAGTAAACTTTTTTCCCCTCTGTTTGTACAATAGTTATGAGGCTCAATGATAACTATTAATTTGAAAACTGCTTTGGTCGAATGTTTTTGTTTGTTTTGTTTTTATCCGCTTGCTTACAATTAGCAAAAGCTGAATAACTTTTTTCCCCCCTCAGTGTCTGAACCAAGTGCACAAATGCAGTGACTAAATATATCAGTATCAAGAGTTATCATCCAATCACCACATCTAATATAAGCTTTATATAGAACTTAGCTCCAATTATGCTGCAAGAAAAATTAATGCAGAAATATCTGAGCTCTTCTGTTAAAACATAATTTAAAGTATCTAAGGCTGAAACAATTAATCAGATTAATCGATTATTGAAACAATTGTCCTTTAATTTAGTACTTGATTAATCATAAAGTATAGAGTGTAGAGTATAGAGACTCTAAAATATGCTTTTAGCTGACAGAGCAACCCATTTAGAGCAGAAATGTTGCAAAAATCCTGGTTTAAACCTGGTTTAATTTCTTTGAGGAACCTTTGGCTATCCAATTATTAATCGATTCATCAAAAAAAATAAATAACTGACAGTTTGCAAAATAATTATTAGCTGCAGTCCTAATGGTATCACATAATTTTCATTGGAAGACTTTATCATTACTTTTCCCTGCTTTGGCCCCTGTGTTATGTATTGATAACTATACTTATAGTTCTATAGATATATTCATCCCTCTGGTAATTTTTGTCTGCATTCTCTCTGTATTCACTCCCCTTCTACACTTTTAAAACTTAATTCTACTCTTCAGACATGGAAGAATATAAATATCTTGGGCTGCAAGCGCCAAACCTGCTCAGAAGAAAGGGTTTAAAATTGGAATATGTATTCCTTCAAAAATATTAAAATATATATAGAGAGAGATTCCTGCTATAAAAAAAAAAGCTGACACAGTGCAACATGTAGACATTTTAAGATAGCTCTCGATTATGTAGCTTCAGTAGTGAGGCTTAACCTGCTTTTAGATTTATTTTTTACCTCTTCATGGACACATTTTGGAGCATTTTGACCCTAGATCGTTTGAGGTCATTGACTGACCCTGCAGCTGTGTTAAGGCAAAAAGGCTGATGCCAAAAGCAGACACAAATAATGGCTTATTGGAAAATTTATTTAAAAAGCATTTCATTTATGCTTAAGCATAAATGAATTTTCCATCTCACCGTTTTTAACCTTCAAGCATACAGTAAAAAACAACCTTTTTTTGCTTAATCGTTTGCAGATTTATTTAGCCGTATGCAGTCTTCCCTTAGGCACACAATCATTTTAAAAGTCTATTCATGGAGACGCAGACTGGCAGCACCGTGACTAAGCATTATCTCCCTCGGAGCCGCAGTGCTACAGTGAGCTGCGCTACCGCATTCCCCCTATAAGAGCCGCCCAAAAACTTCCATCCAAACTCCTCACAGCAGTAATGAAAATACAGTAAGCGCTCATTACCGGGCTCCTCCGGATCTTTGGCAAAGGTCGGTGGTAAAAGCAATCGGTCATGGTGTTGGAAGCCATCTCTAACATATATATCTATTATTTGGTCCTCGCAGAAATATCAGTGCCATGGAAGATAGAGCAGCGCCTTCCTCCGACCGCCTGGCAACAGCCGGAGCTCTGCTGCCGCCTTGTGCCTCTGCGATAGAGGGTGGCAGCGCAACTCTGCAACACTTACTCCTCCCGCCTGGCCTCCCTCCTCATCCTTCCTCCCCTCCGGAGATTCAGCTTCCCGCGTCATCGCGCAGATTTTGCTTACTAATGTATTTTCAACAGTATGCAGAGGGGCCTCTCTATATACACGGCATGGATAGGATCCTATGAAAACAATGCGAGGACGGCTAAATCAAGCTGAACATGGCTGCTTATACATGAATGGGGAAATTACCTTACAGAGATCTAGGTCAGGACCATGGAGAGCAACTCCTTAAGACATTTATTGTCTTTTTGTATACACAGAGTTTATACCAAACGAAATTTCGTTTTGTACAGCTCTCATGACATTTTCATTTACTTAAACGGCAGCAGTGATCAAATGTAAACATTGTGGGAGAAAAACATAGTGCAAAAAAAAAAAACGCATTGAAAATGTCAGTTTGATGCAGTCTGTGACATATTTTAGAGTTTTTTTCAACATTCAGCTGTCTGAATCTGCTAAAAATAACAACTTTGAATTAAAGTACAAGACCAAGGAAGGAAGGAAGGAAGGAAGGAAGGAACGAACGAACGAAGGAAGGAAGAAAGGGTTTGATTTATCAGATAAAATAGCACCTGAGTGTAAAGGTACAGCAGTATAGTGCTTAAGAAGTCCCATTTTACAACTTCTATATAACTGCTTTAATGCCAAAGAGAAAGGTAAAACTTACTGCTATCCTGGCAAGAGCAGCTTTGATAGAGGCCCATGTATCCAGTCTTCGGTCTAAGATGATGATAAACTTAACTCCAGGTTGTCGGGTTCTGCCAATTAAAAAGTGCATCCATTTTATTAGTTTCAGTTTTTGCAAATTTTTGATTGGATTTTTCATTGATCTAAAAAGAACATGTATTTGAATTATCACACTTAATTCAAATCCATCTTCCATTTCTATCAAATTGTTGACAATATGTCTTGATGATGCAAAATCTTGGCATGCAACATGCAGAAAATAAGCCCCCAATCTGCTTTATTACAGTATTTCCTGATCTCTGGAGGGATGAGGTTATGACAAAAAAGGCATCAATAGGACATTTGATCCTGAGCTACAGATCAGCAGTGGCTCCTGTGCTCAGAATACAAGGTTTTGGTGCAGTGCAGAAGGAGAGAGAGTCAGAGCAGCTCAAAGATGGAGGACGCACCGAGGAATGAGAGTGAGGTAGGTAAAGACTTTGGCTAAAGCGTCCTCTGGAATGTCACTGAACGCTGAGCACTCTGGGAGGGTAATGATGACGCTGGAGTCTTCCCCACGTCCTCCTAGAGAGAGTAAAACAAATAAACATAATGGTATACTGTTTATACATTTATACAGACAGACATACATATAAACACACACAGCATCAACCTATAAATATAAATTAAAAAATGTAAGGGTATATATCATAAAAGCTACACTCACCTGATAGGTATGCAACTTGTTTCTCTATATATCCTCCCACTTCCTTCAGGCTGACAGGAACAGTCACCTCTACAACATGATACATAAAATAAACACTGAGATGCACCACTCTCAATTTACCTATGAATTTGATATGATGCATGTTGTTATGTTTTGTATTTCAATATTTATGAAATAATTAAGTGTTCCTTTAGGTAAATAAACTTGATGGTGTTTGTCTCCCTTGAGCCTACATTAGAAACCACAACTTTTCCTTTTATCCATACTTCAATGCAAGGGTGTAACTTTGCAATAAAAGTCGGTGGGGAGTCCCTAAGGGTGGTGGCTGATTGACCTACAGCTACTCAACCCCAATGCTTTCAATAGTGTTTATATTTTCCAAAAATTAGCTCAAACATATATTTCTTGAATGCTTTACTATTGTTGAGAACACAAGAGTGCAACAATACATTTGTGCTATATATAGATATAGACAGATGCCTTCCTTTAGTGCATTGTTTTATAAAGGGCTCAAACACATTAATGTATAAAAAAAAAACAGCCGATATCCAATGCCAACATCAATATATCATGCATCCCTAGTATGGACACTTCAATTCCATTCATCCATGCATGGCTTCCCTTTAAGCTGCATCAGTAATTATCCTTCTTTCACAAACAGCAAAATCAAATTTAGAAATTTGTCCCAAATGTCATTGACGGCCAAAGTCTATGTATTGAACCTTATATTTAAAAAATCATTTATACACTGATTTGTATTATTTGTGCTTTAATTCTTGTAGGTTTCTTATATTTTAATTTTAAGTCTGTGTCCAGTGAGTCTGACTGTCTCTGGGTTGCAGCTCTTTCTGAGTCTCGTTGAACTACAAAAGACAAAAAGATATGTTGAATTTTATTATAGCATTGCATATTTTTTCTTGTAAACTTGGCAATACATTTTATGGCATGTTGCATATCCCAGTAAATCTGTTTCACCTTTAAATCTGCAGCTGTCCCTAATTGTGTCTTTGTTCTGCTTAAAAACAGATTTATGAACCTGTCTACCAATATAACGATGCCAGAGAAAATCATTTTCAGGATCTCTAGAAGCTCTGCAGTCTGATTCTCTGTTCAATAAGAAAACAACAGATATTTGTTCATTTTAATCTGTAACTCTGAGTATGGTCCTGAGAAGCCCAGCTTTTTTAACTCATATAAATGTACAATCTGCTGCCATTTTTAGCTGAAAAAATTCCGTATGTGTAACGGATTATTCGGTGGCATCTCTGATTTTTTTAACCAACCCGTCTCCTAAGTTTTACTTAACATAAATAGAAGTAGCTGCCAGTTAAAATTCACTGAGTGTTGCTGCGAATTTATGTTAAAACGGTTAGTTAGTTCAGACGAAACAGACAGTATGTTAAAATGGCTTGCCATATCAGCATCTCTTCTCATCCTCGTAGCGACTCTGTACGCAGTGAATGTCCCAAAGCTACAGATCTGATGATATTTCACAGAGAAGTGGGACTCGAGAGCAGCAGCAGAGCAAGGAAAAAACACACGGACTGAAAACGCTCTGAACACAGCTGCACCAAACCACAGTTACTGTTGGCTGAAGTAAATCGGCGGAAGGAGGGGAGAGGCGGACATTATTGGTGGGGTCTGTCCCCTCCATGCCCAAAGTTGGTGGGGACATGTCCACACCAGTCTTTCAGAAAGTTACGCCAGTGCTCCAATGAAACACATTTTATGCCAAACGCTCTATGGAGATCACTTTGTTGATGTTATTTTCTTGTAACGAACATGAGTTGTCTGCTAAATGAAGACATAGTACCCTTTTGTGCCTTGAATTTTGGGAACCTTTCTTGTTTAATTATAATGATCATATACCAAAACAACAACTCAGATTTTTTAAGTTCTTTAAAACTGCCTGGAAAAGATTTGTTCCGTTGAATTAAACAAGATGTGTCACACTAACTGCAGTAAAAGTTTACTTTTGTTTTTACTTGGGCTGGTTTTTTTTCCCACCAGGGTTGCGCCTTCAAGATCCTGCATTAAGAAGATTAAACAATTCTAATACATTACTTCATTCTCTGTACAGGAACATAATCAAGGCTAAAAAGCCTTTAGATTGCCTGCAATCCTGTCTTAATTCAGTTAATGTTCATCTCAAAGTGGTGGACAGATACAGTCAGTGCAGTTTACACCAGAATGCAGCTGTAGGCAGCAATTTGGTCTGGTATGCAGAGAGCTGATACGCAATGTTGTGATGTTACTGTTACTGTAAAATCAATTTGTCTTCAGCACTCCGAATGCAAATCCTGTCTGATCTGCAAAGCGAACATAAATGCAACAGAGACATATGCAAGATTCAGAGACCTTAAGCAGCACGGATTTACTGGTTTATTTAAGTCATACAAAATGTCTCCGCATTGCCTTCAGCAGCACATCACTATGCAGTGATTCACTCAAATTTCATTTTAACCTCATAAAAAATTAATCAATGCAGAGGAAATGAGTTAGAAAAAAAATAAGGGAAGGCCAAAAAGAGACTGTAGGAGCAAATTAGTAATAGTTTTCAATGAGGTGACTTCTGTAATACTGTTTCAGGTAGCAAGTAATAAACTCCAGGAGTACCTGCTGAATATTTGATGCGTGTCAGTAACAGAGAGGAGCTGAGCCATGCAAGGCCAAAAAAGAGCCTTGGATAAGCTGTGTACATACAGATCCAAGATAGTGTTACCGTCGCACTTGAATAACTAAATGACCATTAGCATCCAGCTCGGTAAGACAACAGCAAAATGAGGAAAGTTCAGAAATAGATAGAAAAAAAAGGGGGTTTTAATCAGTTATTAACTAAAACTACAATTTGGAGGATGTCTAAAATTTCAAGAACCGCAGAGTTATTATTTGGCATAAAGTGGAGTGGATAAGAGAAAACTTTGGGAGCAGATTTTCATGAAAGAATGTGATGTCAGCATGATTAAAATGCACAACATTACTGCACTGGCTGAATGCAACACACTGCAGTTCTATGAATAAAGTTATAAAGTTTAGAGGAAAAACACTATCCCTCTCAACCCTGACATACAATCAGTAGAGATTGCCGTAACAATACATATTTACTGCTTTGCAGTGTGATGTACTGCATACACTTTTTTGCTACTACAAAAAGGTTTTGTGCATTTTATTAGTTTCTCATGTCACAAATAAACTA